GGCCCCTCCGAAATGGGGGGCGGGCCGGCCCGGCAGCGGCGGAGAGGGGAGCTTCAGCGGGGACCCGACCCCCGGCGGCCTCGTCCGGCCAGCGGCTCTGCACCACCCACTCCTCCCACGGGAAGGCCGCACGCCTAACCCGAGTCGCGCTGGCTGCGGCGGATGGCAGAGTCCACCAGCGCGCGAACGCAACGCTGCCGCCCCCGCAGCCCGGGGGTGGGCGCCATTTCTGTGCGCCTACTGCGGGTTCCCCACACGGTGGAGACGAGAAGGGCAGGGGCATTTACAAAGAGCTGTGCAGCCCGAGTGCGGCGAGCTTCCTCTCGCGTGGGAGGGGGAGCGGGGTAATGGGCACAGGGAAGTTTAGCAGCTAGCCCGAGGTCACACAGCCTGTAGCTGCGGCGCCGGCGGAAAGCCGGTGGCCCGCAGCTGGAGGCCGGGCGGGGAAGAAGGAAGTGCCCGGGGCCGCGCGCAGGTGAGCCGCCTGGTACGGGCGGGGCAGCCAGCTGGGGAGGGGGAAGGGCGGCGCGGCTGGGAGGCTCTGCTCTTCTCCCGCGCTCCCTCCCTTTCCAGGAAGCCCGCCAGCTCGGAGCCGGCCGCTTACCCCGGCTCACCCCGATCCCGGGCAGAGCTGGAATGTGGAAAGTCGGCCCGAAGGGCCTGGGCCCCGTGCCCTCCCCGCCGAACACTCCCACCTAGCTCAGGCCCGGGCTGCGCGAGCGTGGGTCACCTGGGGGAGAGGGGCTCCAGACCAGGACTCGGGCTCCCCGGGGCACAGTACGGGTGTTGCTGTCCCCATGAAGGCCGAGAAGCCTGCTGGGGGCGCCCCGGGCGAACGGCAGCGGGCGCAGGAGTGGCTGCAGGACCCCCTCGCGCGGGGGAGGAGTGCGCTGCTGGCCTTCAGCCCCGGTCGCCGCCGCGGGGTCTGGCCCAGAGCCCACTCCCGACCGTCCTCGGGGCCCCACGGGGCGGATGGGTAGCTGAGGCCTCTTTCCTCCCAACGTTGTGTTTATAAGAAATAAAACTGCACAGGGCATCAGCGGCAGCCCACATTAACATCCCTCTCTCCCTCCGGGGTTCCGGGACAGTCCAGAGCGTTGGAGCGACGCCGGCCCACTCTCGTGTGGCAGGAGTCCCTAGTCAGTCCTGTACTTCCCTCGCCAGCTGCAGCCTCCCACTCTGCATTTAGGATTTTCATACCAGCACATTTATTCTGCTGTGTCATACAGCATTTCTGCCCGAGTTGTGAGAGGGGAGGAACTAGTCTCGTGCCCCAGCATATCCCCAGGGCCAAACCTGGACTTGACCCAGAGCAGGAGAGCGATTCACCTTTACTGAATGACTTAAAAAGTGACTTTCTTTCTACCTAGGCTCCTTGCACGCGGGGTGCCTGGATTCTGTCTTCAGGCTTTTGAATGCTTTCTGATGGTTTTATGCTTGACTTGAGGTCTGCACTTCACAGTACAGGACTGCCTGCCTCCCAGGTTTGCTATGAAAACGAAGATGATGGTTTGGAGGGACTCGGGGCACCGCAGAGAGCCCTCCCTTTAGATCTGGAAGGCTGGAACACACACTGGGGAGGTCATCTGTTTGGGGGACCATGGCCTCCTCTCTGGAGGTCCCACAGGAGTTTAAGTCTGCCCTGCTCTCAAAAACCTAGTTAAAGCCCCCCCTGGGTCCTATACTTTAGGACTAACTGGAGCCCACCTAGAAGGTGAACTGTGTGTTCTGAGGGCCTGCAGAGGGGGGGTGGGGACAGGATTTGGTCCATCAGGCTCCCACTGGGGTGATCCTGCCCCCAGGATCCTAATTGCAGAAGTCACCTCAAAGGAGGCCCTGCCAGCTGCTCAGCCCCTCCTGCCAGCCTAGAAAACCCCAGGGCCTACTGCAGAGAAACTACATAATACATCTACCCTTACTGAGTGATGCATCCTGTGATAGGATGCATCCTGTGAGACCCTGCTCCAGGGCTAACCCCCAGCTAACTCCAGCTGCAGGTAGAGGAGCCTGCTCAGGTTCTCCTGCAGAAAAATGCAGACTTTGTACCCCAGAAGGTCACCACCCAGAAGGTAATAAGTGGAGAAAAGGCAACAGGAAAGTTAAGGGCCAGGGGGTTCTGAGGAGGGGAGGGGCTTCTGGTTCCCTGCTTTACAGATACTTTATAGGAAACCAGACATTTGCTCTAGGACTTTAAATGGAACTGAAATTGAAGTGTGTTAGAGGCAGGGAGAACTGAGATTGACAGAGAGAGGTGAGTATTGCTAAGTGCTGGAGGAAGACATACTGAGGAGCAAATGGAAAGAGCAAAGAGATGAGGGGAAAATACCAGAGGTGTTCAGAAACTGGAAATGCAGCAAAAGGTATATGCATTACTGTTAATATATGGAATTTGACTAATGTTTTACAGTTCAGAAAAGAGTTTATCTCTCTAATTTCATGTTTATAATAAGAGAGAGGGGCAAAGAGAGACAGTAACTTTCCTGAGGTCACACAGCAAGTGGCAAAAGCATAAGCAACCAGGCTTTCAGACTCAAATCCTGTTTTCTTTCCACTGTCCTCAAATTACTGCCAAAGGTAGGGGAGATGTGGGCAGGAAGGTTGGAATGGGACTCCCAGGACCAGAGTGAGCAGTGATTTGAATGTGGAGCTAAGGAGTTTGTGGGAGATTAGAAGGGTCCTGGTGGACCTGAATGTTAAGGAGACCATTCTAGTGCGGAGGCACCTGGGGGGCAGGCCTGATGGGGGAGAGGCCCTAGGGGAGGCTATAGTAACAGCAGTCTGGTCCTGGAAGGTGATGTGGGGAAGGAAGCCCCAGACAAGGTGACGCAAAGGAGGTAGAAGACAGGAAAGACTATCTGGTAGAAGGCTGGGATTAAGAAGAGAGAAAGCTGCTGGGGACAGTGTGGAAAGGTGAGGCCAGGAGTTCTGCTTTTGTGTGTGTGTGAATCTGTGGATAGGGTTGGAGTGGGGTGTCGAGAAGCAGAACTTGGGTGGGTAGGTCTCCTGCACAGCGGGGATGGCTGGAATTACAGAAGATGAGTATTTTGAGTCAGAGAGGGGAAAGGGTCAGTTCTAAATTACTAAGTAAAGCCTAGGGAAGGCTCTATATGTTTTGCTTATCGTCAGAGGGAATGTGTGATACATCTCAGAATCCAAGAGCAGTTATTATAAAAATTTGGAGTGCTTGGGCAGGGTTTGGCTTTATTTCACTGATTGGGAGTATAGCACCCCCAATCATGATAAGCAGATTCTTAAAGGCTTCAAGAGAAGAATCCCTATAAAGTTAAAAGCTAAAAAAAAAAGATTGTCAAGGAACACTTCAAAGATGTAAATAACAGTTTCATTGGTAAATCCTAACAATTGGGGAATTTCTCCTAAGTGCAAAAAAAATTATTAATGTGCACAAAGATTTAGCTACACAGTGTTGTTTGTATTATGAAAAAATGGAAATAACCTAAATGTCCTACAATAGGGGATTAATTTGGGTAAATTTTTATTTATTTTTATGATAGAAAAAGAGGTACCCATTATCTTTATGATAGAAAAAGAGGTACCCATTACAAATGATACTGCAGAAATACATTTCATGACCTGGAAAATGCTCATTATATGTACATATACACATACAGACGATTGTCTATTAGCTAAAATAAAGTTCTTATTTTAGAGCCCTTTTTTCAGTCTCCTATTGCCTTCATATGGTCATCTTGGTCAATTCCTCAGCCCACATGAGGTGCCAACTTCCTCTCCCTAATCTCATTCTGAATTTTCAACTGCTTATGTCAGGTGCTTGGGGACAGGACGAACATCCATTTGCTGTACAGAGTTGACTGTACAATTCAGGAGCCACTCGTTTTCTGCTTTTTTCACTCAGAAGGTCTTGGTCTCTTTAGTCGGTTCCCACTCCCATCTGCCACTTAAACCACCCCAACCCTTCTCCCCCTTCCAGGGCCTCAGCACCTTCCATTTTCCTTAACACCCAGCCCAGCTCCCTACTCACAGCTCCTCCTACCTCTCTCTCGCCTCTCCTCTCTCTTGCACACACCACTATCAAATAGCTCTGACCTTTTTGGTCTCCTGGGAGTCAAGCCTGGAGTTAGTCATGGCATCAGATTCTGGTGCACCAGATTCCATTAACCCAACCATTCTTCCGTGGGAGGAAGACACTAGAATGACTGACAGGTGGAATGCTGCATCAATGTGTTTATTTATTGCCAACATCATTGCAACTGGGTGCTGCTGTAGGGGGAGAGCTGGGTTGAGGGGAGGGACACAACCAGACCTGCCTAGATTTACTTCTGAGTCAGCTGCTTTGAGGGTGAGGGTGGGGGTAGGGGGAGGCAGGTGAAGGAAGGAGCCTGCTGGGCCAGAGTTCTGACTGGAAAGTGAACACTCAGCCCAGCCTCTACGAATACAACTACAAATACAAGGTCTAGTTGTAAGCATAAGAGCCAAATAGCTGCCCTTCCCAAGGGACCTGGACTCCCCAACTATTTGGCTAGACCCACGGCCTTGGCCAGCCCTAAGCAACCCCCGCCCCCATGCTGCCCAAAGCCTTTCTGGGCCAAGCCCTGAGGACTTGGCCACACCACCAGCGCTGACACTGAGGGACTCTCATGCCAGGGCCTTGTGAGGCTGTGGAGGTGGCCTAAGGCTGGAGTACTGGGGGTGGACCAAGGCGACCCCACCCCCACCCCAACTCAGCAGCCCTGGCTTCTCTGAAACCCTTCTCCTTTGTCCCAGCTTTGGGGCAGTCCCAAGGATGTAGCCAGAGAAGGGGAAGGTGTCTCCCTGGTCACTATAAGGCTCTGGGCAGGGAACTCGAAAACCATGCAGTATCTGCTGCCCGAGTGGGGCATGGTGCTTTACAGGGATCACCTCTCCGTCACTGGAAACCTGCAAGGTAGGGCTACTTTGTAGCTGAGGAGACTGAGGTCCCAGTCGTCTCGACAGGCTGCACCAGCAGCAGCCAGTCTGGAACTCCCTCTCCTTTGGCAGTACCCGGGAGCACCCCAGGCAGCGTAGGCTTTTCTTTTGCTTCCGCAGGGCAGGTGAATGACCGGCGGTGGGTCGCCCCTCAAGAAAGGGGCAATGTGGAGGATGAAACCTTCCTTCTTGACACCCCATTTGCGGCCTTGAGACACCGGGCTGGCTTTGGGGGATTCAATACCGGGGTCCCCTCTGAAGAGGGGGCGGCAGGTGCTCCGAAGACCTCCTCACCTGCGCTCTGGAGAGATGTGCCCACCCCCGGAGAGGAGGGTGAGATGGCCACAGGAGCTGGAAGGCTGGGAGAATGCGGAGCGAGAGTAGTAACTGCAGGCCGGGGCGCCCGGCTTTCCAGGACTGCCTTGCTCCCGGCGAGCTGGTGTGGGGGTGGAGTGGGAGCGGACGCGGCGGGCCCGCGGTCGCCCCGGGGCGGCGGCGCCCGGCCGGAGGGGGTGGGGAGCAGCAGCCGCCCTGTACTTCCCCTTCGCCGCTAGCTCTACAACAGCCTGATTTCCCCGAAGTGATGAGGCGGCGCCGGCCAATAGGCGCCCTCGCAGCTCTTTGGGGGGCGGGGCCGGCCCGGGCTTGGGGAATCCCGCTAAGTGTTTAGATTTCTCGCCGGCGCCGCTCTCCCAGCAGAGCGCGCCACTCTTTCGTCGAGGCAGGACGTGTGCCCTAGGCGGACCGAGCGAGGCCAGCGGGCGCCGAGCCAAGCCCAGGCCAGCGGCTCGCAGCGGCCCCGCGACCCGGGCATCCTCTGCCTTCTCGCGCCCAGCCGGAATCGCGCTCCTCGCGCCCGCTGCAAAGGTGAGCCCGCCTTCGCCGCGGGGGACCGGTGGCGTCGAACAAAGGAGCGCGGGGGCACCAGGAAGTGGGGGCCGAAAACCCCAGGCGCGAGTGGCGCGGGCGCGCGGCGTTGTCTGGGTCCCCGCGCGGGCTCGGGAGGGCGCTGGAGGAGCGGCGAGCGGCAGCGCGGGGAGGGCGGGCCGCGGTGTGGACCGCCCACCCGGCAGAGGTTGCAAGCGCCCGGCCGCTTTCGCAGGTCGGCGTGCGCGAAGCCGCCGGGGCCTTTGGGTGACTCGGTATGTTTGTTGCGCGCATTCACAAGCGGGGAGTGTCCGTCCTCTCGTGGGAGACCCGGGCTTCCCCGGACCGGCTTTGGATGGTCCCAGCTGCGCGCCCAGGCCCCAGATCTCAGACTGTCTATGCAGATAGCGGGCTTGCTGCCCTGGGTGACTGGAGGACCTGCCGTGGCTGCGGGAGGAGGCGCCACAGGTGTTCCCTGAGCCACTATCGGCCGAGGAGAGGAGCCAGGCAGAGGGAGGAAGCCGGGCCCGAAGGGTTAGCTTCCCGGCCTCTGCACTGGTAGCTGGCTGGGAGGCACAGACTAGATTGCGGGTGGAGAGCGGGGGCGGGGAGGGGGGTTGGGATGTCCAGGGGTGCAGGGTGACTGCTTGCCCATTAGGGAAGGTGCATGGCTAGTGGCAACAAATGCAGTTGGGAAATTCCTTAGCACCTAGCAAAAGAAGCCCCTCTTCTCAAAGGCGTTGAAATTTGGGAGGAAAGTTCCGGTATTAAGGTATTTGTGTATCTTGTACCATTTTCCAGCACATAAATCTTGACGCTATCATTTGCGTGCCTTCTCCCAAGACTGTCAAGGAGTGGGCGAGGGAAGGGGCAGAAGAGTTTTTGCCCAAGGTGCAGTCACGATGTGGACGGCAGTTTTATTCCTGTGGAGGCTCCCTCCCCCATGTCTTAGTGCTTGGTATCTGGCCTAGCAGCAGGGGAGGTTAACTGAATGGTCCGGGTTGGGGGCAGGGCAGTGCCCAGGGACTGCTCAACAGACTCTGAACTGGAGCTTTCTGTCTTTTTACAGCCAACATGCCCATCACTCGGATGCGCATGAGACCCTGGCTAGAGATGCAGATTAATTCCAACCAAATCCCAGGGCTGGTCTGGATTAATAAAGTGAGTGTAACTGGGTTTTCCCTGTTACTATTTTAACCTATGGTTTTGGGGGGACTAAAGCTTCGATGCAGTTGAAAAAGGGAAGTAATAGCAGGCAGATGTGTTTGCCAGTGGGTCCTGCATACAGGGAGTATGCGAGGCTCACCCCGGGTCCCAGTTGCCCAACTTCTGCCTTCCTCCCTTCTCGAGGTATGCGCAAGGCACCCACTTGAGGGCACTAAGAGTTTCCAGCAGCAAGATGCCCCAGAATCTGCGGAACTGGTGTCTCCCTTTAAAAAACACAGCTCCCTGGAGAGCTCCAGTCCGTGGAGACAGAGAGGAGGGCACTCCTGGCAGGAAGGTGGTTAGCTCAGCAGGGGACCCCAAAATTAACCATGTACAAGTTGCCCAGGTCCAGCAATCCTCTTGCTGGTGCGCAAAGGGAAATAGCTCCTGCAGACTCAGTAGCAATAACAGTATTCATAGTAATAGTGAAGGCTTACTGTATACTCACTGAGCATGGCATCCTAAGTATATTATTTACATTGTGTCATTTAATCCTCAAAGTAGCCCAGTGAAGCAGATCCTATAATACCTCCATTTTCAGATAAGGAAACAGAGGCACTAAGAGATGTTGAGAGCACACGAAAAGTGATCATGCCTGGCTTTGAACCGGAACAGCTCTGACTTAGAAATCCATACTATCAGCCACCAGGAATAACAGTGAGACCGTAGTCGGTATATTTGTCACTGTTTCTTCATTTCACAGAAAACAGTGAGGGACAAAGAGGTGACAGTGCCAGGGTCACAAAGGCAGTCAGGTAGTCACACAGGTAGTCAGCATCCAAGTCTGGCCCTAGGCTCCCTTAGGTGTATGGCAGGACCCCCTGTGGAGGAGCCAGTCGTCCCAGATGTCCTGAGCAGTCCCCTTTAATGGAGGGGCTCTCATTTCCATGTTGATGCTGACAGACCAGAGAGCAGCAGCCCAGGGTCATGTGTACGGGTCCCAACTCATGTGTAACTGGCAGAGAGGCCTGTCTGTTGCCCCAGCACATCAGAACCCCAAGCTGCTTCTGAGAGACCCAGAATGGTACAGTGGCCTGTGTGAGCCAATCGCAGGGCGAGCCAACCCAGGCCAGATGTCAGGGTAGACCTGGGGCTGCTGAGTAGTCTCAGGCCCCGAGTCTGTGGTCTTTGAGCTGACACACCCCTGTGCCTGTGCTGTTCAGGAGGAGATGATATTCCAGATCCCGTGGAAGCATGCTGCCAAGCATGGCTGGGACATCAACAAGGATGCCTGTCTGTTCCGGAGCTGGGCCATTCACACAGGTAAGTGTCCTGGAGTCGAGGCTGGGAGGGCCAGGAGGAGGCAAAGTGCTCTGTTAACTAACACAGGCTATTCACTGGGGTCTGAGTGACCTGAGACACTGTATACAGAGTTTGGGGGCAGGCAGGGGGCAGACTTGTGTTTCTGGGGAGAGGATCCATTGTTTGAACAAGTTCTTAAAGGAATTTGTGAAGCTGAAATCTTGCCAGTGTGACTTCAGCAAGTTTGTGTCTGGATTAAAGTTCCCTCTGGCAAAAGCAACTGTGAGCAAGAACACTGAAAGAAACCCAGGCCTACCTTTTTCTTCATGTTGACTAAGGTCCTTGGCCTAAGGCCCATCTGGTTGTCAGCCTCCTTTTATCCTCAAGGTAGGGCCTCGTGGCCCATCTCAGCCCAGTCAGTTTACCCACATATCAGTAACTGTTTTGCTCTGTGCCCACTCCCACGTTTGGAAATATCAGATAAGCCCCAGTTCTTACCCTCTGGCTGCTGATAGCCCAAGCAGGAAGACTAGGCATGGTCTGGGACAAAAAGAACACTACGGGGCATTTGAGGCCAAGGGCCCAGGGCCAGCAGGGTGTTGCTCAGGATCGCCTGCTGGTTTGACCAGTGTGGGACTCTAGCCATATGAGAGCTTAGGATACTCCTGCCTTCCTCCACCCAGGCCAGGGGCAGCTGAGGATGCCCATCTGTGACTCTGATGACCCTCTTCATTCTCCTGCCCACTAGGCCGATACAAAGCAGGGGAAAAGGAGCCTGACCCCAAGACATGGAAGGCCAACTTCCGGTGTGCCATGAACTCCCTGCCGGACATTGAGGAGGTGAAGGACCAGAGCAGGAATAAGGGCAGTTCTGCTGTGCGTGTGTACCGGATGCTCCCTCCCCTCACCAAGAACCAGAGGAAAGGTATGCAAGGGTTCTGGGTCCTCGGGACCCCTCAGGGAGGGAGGGAGGAAGAATTGCGGCCGGGGCTGGTGGCCTGTACCAGGGCTGACAGCCTATCTGCCCTACAGAGAGAAAGTCCAAGTCCAGCCGAGATGCCAAGGGCAAGGCCAAGAGGAAGGTAAGTGTGGTCCTAAGTAGCCAGCCTTGGGTCATCTGATGAGGGGCGGGGGGGCAGGAGAAGAAATGCCATGATGGCAAGCCTGGGTCTAAGCTTCTTTTTCTCTGCAGTCGAGTGGGGATTCCAGCCCTGATACCTTCTCTGATGGACTCAGCAGCTCCACCCTGCCTGATGACCACAGCGGCTACACAGCTCAGGGCTACTTGGGGCAGGACTTGGAGGTGGAGCGCGCCCTCACTCCAGGTGAGGTGGGCTGGGTCTGGTAGGGGACCTCACAGGCCAATCTAGGGGGCATGGTGCAGTGGGTCGTGGCCTGTTGGAGCAGGCTTCAGGGTGGGGGTGCTGGGGGGCACACAAACTAAGAAAACATACGAGTAGCCCTGACCTGCAGTTTCTGCTGTCCTGGAGCAGTGTCCCCATGTGCCGTGAGCAGCACACTCCCTGACTGGCGCATCCCAGTGGAAATTGTGCCAGACAGCACCAGTGACCTGTACAACTTCCAGGTGTCGCCCATGCCCTCCACCTCTGAAGGTTCGTGGCCCTGGTAGCCTGACTGTTTTAGGTGCTGGGAGGGATTTCTTGAGGGAGAACAAGTGCTCAGAACTCACCTGGCACTGCACTGACAGTGGTAAGCTGGGGAGGAGAGGAAAGGGGTGGGGGCTGCATTTAGTCTATGGTTGCTAGCTGGCCTGAGTCCTCTGCAGCCCAGTCTTTCAGCGGGAAGGCGGAAGCAAGAGGGTGGGAAGAGGTGTGGCTTCAGGGTTTGGGAGGCTGAGTCACCAGGACAGTGTCCTGTTCTGGAATCTCTGGCAGCCAGATGTCTGCTGAAGGCGTGTGTGTGTGCACGCGTGTGTGTGTAGAGGACCTGGGGCTGGAACTGCAGGATGAGTCTGACAGCCGGCCAACCTCTCTGCTTTTCCCACCCACAGCCACAACAGACGAGGATGAGGAAGGGAAATTAACTGAGGACATCATGAAGGTAAAGCTCCTTCCTCCCTGGGCACTCTTAGAAAGTGGCTGCTTCTCAGTGGGGAGAGAGAGAACCAGCAAGAACTTCCAAATCAGAGGGCAGCTGTTTCTGTGGCCTGGCTGCCTGCATGGTCCTGAGTGCCATGTCCCTGGGGCTAGGGACCCCTCCCGCCCTTGGCTGGGGGGAAGACACCGTGGGCGTGGGGACAGAGGGAGGCCTGGTTTCCTCAGGGCCTCTGACAGCTGTTGAGTCAGCCATCCTCAGTGCTGGGTCCCTGGCCTGTGTCCTTTTGCCCCAACATGCCCCAGTCCTGCTAGTTAGGGAAATGCACATAAGGTTTCAATAATCAGCCTTTGGAATCTGTGTAATAGGAAGGATTCTTTTTTTTTTAAAGCACATTATCCAGGTATTTTTTTTTCTGCTTCAGTTTTCAAAGTGAATATTAGAAGTTTTTGCTGTATTTGTTGCCCACGTTTTTATCAGCACAGAAAATTGAGACGTGGGCATAGTTCTTTATCTCTACTTTTCTACTCATCTTTTCTTGACTTTTAATGCTAACTATTGCTTGAAGCCACATTCTCAGCTGGTATGTCCTAGAGATACCATGTCATAGAGATTCTGTGCGGTGGGTAGCTGGGGGAGCATGGGTCTGGGTGGACCCTCACCTCCCAGCCCCTGGTCCTAACTACATATCCACCTCCATCTGAGCACGTGAAAATGGCCAAGGGTGTGATCCTGGCCAGGAAGCTTTGGCTCATTGAGGGGAGGGCCACGGGGTGAACTTGCACTGCAGGGGACCTAATGGCTTCTTGCTCTTCTGTCCCCAGCTCTTGGAGCAGTCTGGGTGGCACCCAACAAATGTGGATGGGAAGGGATACCTGCTCAATGAGCCTGGAGTCCAGCCCACCAGTGTTTACGGAGACTTCAGCTGCAAGGAGGAGCCAGAAATTGACAGCCCTGGGGGTAAGGAGCCCTGAGCTCAGAGGGTTTCTCAGAGAATGGAGAGCCATGCAGAGGGTGGGGAGGGCTGGGGGCAGGGCCGGGAGCCGCCAAGCATCTGGTACAGACAGCCTGTGAACTGGCTGTTGCTCTGGTGCCTTCAGGTTTGCGGAAAGACGGGCGCTTGCTGCGCTGGACAGCATAGGCAGCTGTGTCTGTGGCCCTCGGGCAGGGCTGGGTGGGGGGTGTGCACACTCTGCCCCACCCCACCCGCCTCCTCACACAACCTTCCTCTTGTCTTCCAGGGTATATTGGGCTGATATCTTCAGATCTGAAGAACATGGACACCAGCTGGCTGGACAGCTTGCTGCCCCCAGTCAGGCTGCCCTCCATCCAGGCCATCCCCTGTGCACCGTAGCTGGGCCCCTGGCCCCCTTTACTCCCCTAGGTGAGCAGGACCCGGCATCATGGTGGCTGTGGTGCAGAGAAGCAGGTCTCCTGTGGGCCCCTTGACATAAAAAGCCTGACCCCAGTGCCAAGTGGGGATGGAGCCTCCCTCCTTGGGGCAGGGCCTCTCCAGGACTGGCAGGCAGGGTCTGGGCTCACCTTGTGGGTAGAAAGCTGGCCCTTTCTCTCGGGAAGATGGGGTTCTGAGACTGGTGTGTCATGTGGCTCAGACGGGAGTCAGCCTCCAGCTTTTCCTTTTGAGCCCTGCTGCCTGGAGAGGGTCTCACTGTTGCTGAGCTGGCCGGAAGGAACAGACCGGTGACCTCAGAAAAGCACAGCACCAACGCCAGGGCTGGCTCTGCACTAAGAGACGATTGCACTAAGTGATTCCTATTCCCAAAGAACTGCCTCCCTTCCCAGATGAGCCCTGGGGACCATTCCCAAGCCAATGAAATGTGAAGGAAAAATGGGGTCCTGCAGGAACTGCTCCCTCAGCCTCAGAGAGGCTCTGCCCTGCTTTTGCTCCCTGCTCGGGCCAGGGCACGTGGGAAAAAATATGGCACTTTTTCTTGTGGACCTCGGCACATTCCCGCTCAGAGGTGTACACTAACGTTTCCCCCAAGCTCTTGGCCTTCACATTTATTTATGCAGTGCCTTGCCCTGCGCCCACCTGCCCCCTCAGCAGGCCCAAGGAGGGACGTGTGAGCGCCTTGGTGTGACTTAAAATCAGACAAGCCATCCAATCACTAAGTCATGTGACCACATATGTACACATGTGTAAATATGTACATTTGTCTTTTTATATAATGTTAATTGTTTATAAGGAGTTTGACTTTTATTTAGAGGTAAGTTGTAGGTGATTATACTTTATTTTGAAGACATTCTGATGGACTCATTCTTGGCATCCTACCTCCGGAGCTTGTCTTTGGGGTGAACAATGACATGCACATACTGCAAAATTTCAATCATGCCCACAGAGAAGGAGAGGCTGTCATGGCAGAGAGACATGGTCTATGAACATACTCACTGCCTTTGGCTTTACAGCTAAGACTGGAATTGAGGTTCCTGAGGCTGGGGAAGTGTTAGGTTTTGAGTTCTGAGGAAGTAGCTGTGGACTGTCCTGCTGAACTCAGATGCAAGTATACTTAAGTACTACTCCATGAATTTAATGATTGGTGCAGCAGTCACAAACCAGCGTAAAAAAGGTCCCTGTGGCCTACTGTGTCATGCGTTACTTGTCCAATTTGCAGTGATGGGAATGTTTTCAGGTGTGTGATCACATTCCAGCTGAGTGCTTGGAATGTGAATGTGGCTACTGTGATGGTGGAACAGAATTTCAGGTCTTACTGGTTAAGACTTAGCCCCATGTGGCCTGTGGTTACCATACTAGACAGAATAGATGATCCTGGTTCAGGGGCAGATCTGATGGGGAAGCTGGGATGGCTGGAGGACATGGGACAGTGGTTGGGGCTATCTACCTGAGCAGTTCACTGTTTGACAGCCCACAGAAACTTACTGATGCTGAACACCAGTCCCACAGGGCACTATGAAACAGGTCCATGCACAAATGCTAGGAAAGCCCTGGATGACCTTATGTAAAGCAGGTGTTCTTCACATCGTTTCACAGTTCTGGCTGGGCTAAAGCACACACAATCTGAAGGGGTATGGATCAGAACAGTGTTTCTGAAAACAGGTTGGGAATCACTGATGTTGATATATACCCCCTTCAGATAAGACCCAAGCCACAGGTGTGTATGGCAATAGGCTTTCTCATCTCCCCCTTCTCTGGCCCTGGGGCATGAACAGTACAAAGCAGTAGGCAGGCTGGCCAAGGGAAGTCCGAAGGCCTCACTAGCATCACCCAGGCAAGGTCATGGCAGTAAGGGGGTTGCCCTGGGAAACCAGCCCTGTGGACACGTCTGTACTCAATTGCAGAAACCACTGGGACTGTGATCCACTCCCTGGGTCCAGCCCTTTGGAAGGAATGTGGGCCCTTTGTGGAGAAAGGAAGACCAAGGAAGAAAATGAAAAAGCTGGGAAATGGGCAAGGCCAATCGTCATTCTCTGCCAAGCTCAGGAAGCACAGATCCTGATACTGGACATGCCATGTGTGGGGGAGTGGTGGGGGTAGATGGCCTCCTGTTGAGTGGGCACTGGATGTGGACATCTGGACAGACCCCAGTCTCAAGCCCTGCCCATCAGAAGATCCATCTGGAGTTTCCAAGTGTTGCCTCACTTGGGGGCAGAGGGATGGGTAAGATGACCTTGCCTAGCTCCTGCAGAGCCCAACCTGACCAAGGAGAATCAGCCTGGGGTGGCTAGCATTCTTTGGCTTCTAACTAGGAGCACGGTGAGGTCTCTGGGTGGTTTTTCCAGGCAAAGATGTGTGGGTGAAGCCAGGTCTAGTGATTGAGGAGGGATGGGAGTGAAGGGATGCAACCCACAGCAGAGAGCAGGGACTGCCTCCAACTTTTCTACTCTTGTCCTTCAGCCTAACCCCTGACAGAGTAGACAGTGGGAAAATCTCTCGTTATAATGCCTACAGTGCGTCACCTGTAAGTTACCAAAACAGGAGAGAACTCCATCCGTGAGCTCCCATTCTCCAAAGCTAAGAAGTCCTGACCTCCAGCTCTTCTTGCTCCTGGGTTCTAAATACTTGGGAACAACTCCTTGGAATGTCCTGGGAGGGACCCCCAAACTCCATCCCCTCCCCACCACAAGGGAGCTGGGTCCTAGGGACCAGGCCTGGAGGAGGATCATGGAATAACGCCAGACCTTCCAGAATGGTGAGCTGTCCCACACCACCGCGGACCGTGGCCAGGACCTGACTGGAGAAATGGTTCAGTCCGACTACTCAGCCAAGTGTGAGGGCAGCACTGCTACCTCAGCCACACAGTGCCTGAGATGGAGCCGCAGCAGTATAATCTGAGCCAAACTAGGGCATCATAATGTAAGGTCATTCCAAGGATCTGACAGTGCTTTTGAAGGTCATTCCCAGGAGTTTCAGTCTGAATACAAATGGTGGAAGCTCTTGACTGAGGTAGCTGGGTGGTCACTGAAAAACTTGTTTTGTTGGGGTTGGGGCTGTGATGACAGCACTGTCACCAACTGCCACTTTCCAATGTAGTAAATTGGTAAAGTGGGGCTGAGCCTCCCAGCTAGAACTGCCAAGTCTATAGATGAGTTCAAGGGCATTTCTAGTCAGTCACAGGGGTTTCCTTACCCCGAGCATATTGTTTACCTGGGCAGGTTTATTCATTTAGCTCATTTGGCAAAAAGAAGAAAGCTAGAGGCCAATATGCTAGCTGCTCTTACAGAGGCTCATGATGGCAGAAGATGTTTAGGGAAGACAGATGCAAACCTCCCTTTCTTGGTGCATCCGCTTTTAACCTCAGTGCACTGTGTGCAAGGTAAGAGCTTTCTCAGGTCTCTGGATCTCTCAGGCTGAGATGCCAAAGACAGAACTGAAGACCTGGGGAAAGTCCTGGGCCCAGCGGGAGCGGGGCTCCTCTCCCCGGGGAGTGGTGCTCACTGGCTGTGTGGCTGGGTCATGTCCAGCCTGTTATTTTCTGGGCCCATTTGGTCTTTGCTCACATTGTGTAGATCCAAAACCCTTCTTTTAGTGGGGTACAGGTTTCCTCTGCAGCCCTGTTTGGACCACCCAGGAAGGTTCTGTCACTGTCAGATAGAGGGACTGCGCTTTCCTAACCGTGGCACAGCTGACTCCATTGCGTGGATGCATGAAATTCATTGGAACTGTGCACTAACTTGTACCCACCTGTGCCAACAGCCAGGGAGGCCTAGAGAGGGAGAACGGGAGCTGGTGCATTCCACTGTCCAGGAATGAAAGTACTGGGCAGAGAAGGGCTTGTCTTTGTCAGCCAGGGCTCCCTGGTGAGGCCAAGTGTAAGGCAGCCCTGGGTAAAGCTCCAGGGAGCTCACTGTTTCTGCTGATTCTCTGGGGTGCCGGAGTTGTAGCAGCAGCCCCCACTTCTGCAGGCTCAGTGGTGGGGCAGGCCTCATGTGTCTATGCTAAAAGCTTAATTTCAGCTGGGGAGATACTAGAGGCAATGAGGCAAGAACATGACGACAGACTGCAAAAGGAGAGGCAGATGTCCAGCTTGCATCCCCAGCCAGCAACAAGAGCTGAGAAATGGACTGAGCCTGAAAGGACCTTAAAGTTCGGCGGGCTAGAAACAACATAGGGCTTGAGTGTGCACTGCACCCGACGCTGTGCCCAGGGCCCCACATGTGCCACACCACAGTCCCTGGCTTGCTGTGACCAGGCAACCAAAGCTCTGCTGGCATAAGGCACTTGCCCAGGATGATGCAACTAATCAATATGGAGCCTGGATCCCAACACACAGCTGTCGGTGCCCAGAACCCAGACCACTGCCACAATACCAGGCTGTCCACAGAGGAGGAAACCGAGGCCTGTGAAGGAAGTCTGGGAATGCTTGCCTAGGGCAGGGCACTAGCCCCTCATGCCAAGAAAGCATCTGGGGACAGGGAGGGAAGGCAGCAAAAGTTGCAGCTCTGGACACTGTGTAGGACCCTGCTTTTCAGCTCCCTTGCCCTCCCCTTCCTTCAGGCCACATGGCTCAGCAGATACAGGCCCCAGGGCTCCAGTGGGGTGAGATTTGACTTAGTCCTGAAGGGGTGCGATGCCCCACCTATGCCCTGGAGGCCACCTGCAGTTTCGAGGGGTGGAGCCCTAGGGGGACGAGACACAGACAGGCTCGTAACTCGGCCTTGGTGCAGGGGGCAGCTCTGTGTGAACCTACTCCCAGCTCCAGAGGACTCTGGCCGGCTAGGGCTTATCTCATTTCTAGGGATCAAAGAGGACCTGTCATCTGCATTTCTTTCTGAGTAAGGTGACCAGAGCTCTCCTGTCTCCTGCTCTAAACCAGACCTTTCCTGGGCAATGGGGCCTCAGAGGCGGGGATTCTGGGTGACTGTATAAGCAGGACGACTCAAGGTGTGTCCTAACGCCTAGTTATGGGGCTGGAGTCCTCCTAGCTTTTTGGTCCCTGAGTAAACCCAGCACCCCTGGTGGCTGGCTGATTGCTGGTGGGCTCCTGGGCTCACCTGCAGGCTTCCTTCAGGGAAGGCCCCCCTCATGCAGACCCAGCTGGGGGGCAGCCTGAGTGGGCCACCCTCCCTCCATGTCTGGCCCAGTGTCTTGGGTTGGCCTGGGTACCTGTCTGCTTCTGCCCCTGCCTCGTGCTAACAGCCAGGTGGATGTGGGGGTGTCCAGTTTTGCTACCATGTCCTCCTCAAACTGGCAGTGGGGAACTTCCTCAGAATTAGAGCAGGCACAGTGGGTCCTTCCACAGCAGTTAAAATCCTTGGCCACACCTTGGCTCAGAGAGGCGAAAGGATATGCCTGGGACCTTAGTTCAAGAGCAAAGTAAGTGGGCTGGGGTGGGCTGGGGTGGGTGGGGAGAACTGCGTGCCAGGCTCTCTGAGAGGTGCCCTTATGGAACAAGGCTGCTGGAGGAACATGGAGTTGTGTTTGGGGAATGGGGGTGGAGAAGGAGAGCCTTCAGGCCAGCCCGGGGCAATGGCAGGCCAGGGTGGGGCTGCTACTTGCCTGTGGGAGTGAAGCTTGGCTGCCTCGACTGGTGCCCAGAGCTCCCCTCTCAGTGCTCCTTCTGGGCTTGCCAGGACGGGGCAGGAGCTGAATGCTGAGAGCCGAGGTGAGGGCTGGGCTGCTAGGTGAGGAGGCCTGGTGTTCATGCAGGTCTGTGGGGGTCCAGTGGCAGTGGGGGAGCCTGCAGGGATGTCCTACCTCCCAAGGTTCAGAACAGCCCCGTAACCATTCATCACCACCCTTGTCCTGCACTGGTAGGCAGCCAGAGTTCTTGGCCCAGGAGACCATC